TTTGCTTGTGTAAAAGGGATGTAAAAATATTATATTGTAATATTTTTACATGAAAATTTGCTGCTTTCAAAAACTAATTGGGTAGCTTTTGTAGAGAGAAAAAGTAAGAGAGAGAGAGGGCACAGAAACAGAGCATAACCCTGCAAAGTTCTCTGTTTCTGTGCTTCGGTAAAATTGTGAGAAGATGATACAAGAAAAAGGGCTGCATTTTCATTCATGTTTGCATGGCTTAGATCAACCAATTTACAATCACAGATCCTGTTTTTTCGTGCAAGTGATGATCTTGTACACAAACTCAATTCCACCCTTATCCGGCTACTACATAATTCGAGGAAACTTAAATTTAAAATTCAAATGCAAGTTGATAAGAATAGATTTTAACTGATTCTTAATAATCTGACATCCATTCAATATAATCCTATCCCCTCCTAATCAACTCACCCGAATTTATGCCATTGCTTAGTACAAGGATGCATTGTTACAAGATTCCTATGTTGGCTATATGGAGAATGGGGAGTGTTTTGTGGAGGTCATAAGGAATCTTAATGATTGAGAAATTAGGGAGTAAGAAACCTTGCTGCTCTCTCTTGCTAAGGCTAGACCTAATGGGATAGAAGGGTTACCCATTTGGAGCTTAAATACTAGTGAGATTTTCTCTATGAGATCTTTTTACAATTACCTGACAAGAAAGGAGATCACGACTAGAGACTTTCCTTCCAAGTAAATCTGGAAGGTCAATGCTTTCGACCAGAATAGCCTTTTTTGCATGGGAGGGTGTCAGAGGATGTATTCTAACTTCGGGTGAGTTGATTAGGAGGGGATATGATTATATTGAATGGATTTTGCTTGTGTAAAAGGGATGTAAAAATATTATATTGTAATATTTTTACATGAAAATTTGCTGTTTTCAAAAACTAATTAGGTAACTTTTGTAGAGAGGCAAAGTAAGAGAGAGAGAGAGAGCACAGAAACAGAGCATAACCCTGCAAAGTTCTCTGTTTCTGTGCTTCGGTAAAATTGTGAGAAGATGATACAAGAAAAAGGGTTGCATTTTCATTCATGTTTGCATGGCTTAGATCAACCAATTTACAATCACAGATCCTGTTTTTTCGTGCAAGTGATGATCTTGTACACAAACTCAATTCCACCCTTATCCAGCTACTACATAATTCAAGGAAAATTAAATTTAAAATTCAAATGCAAGTTGATAAGAATAGATTTTAACTGATTCTTAATAATCTGACATCCATTTAATATAATCCTATCCCCTCCTAATCAACTCACTTGGATTTATGCCATTGCTTGGTACAAGGATGCATTGTGACAAGATTCCTATGTTGGCTATATGGAGAATGGGGAGTGTTTTGTGGAGGTCATAAGGAATCTTAATGATTGAGAAATTAGGGAGTAAGAAACCTTGCTGCTCTCTCTTGCTAAGGCTAGACCTAATGGGACAGAAGGGTTACCCATTTGGAGCCTAAATACTAGTGAGATTTTCTCTATGAGATCTTTTTACAATTACCTAACAAGAAAGGAGATCACGACTAGAGACTTTCCTTCCAAGTAAATCTGGAAGGTCAATGCTTTCGGCCAGAACAGCCTTTTTTGCATGGGAGGGTGTCAGAGGATGTATTCCAACTCTGGTTGAGTTGATTAGGAGGGGATAGGATTATATTGAATGGATGTTGCTTGTGTAAAAGGGATGTGGAGTGGTGCAAAATATTTTCTTGTCGTGTCCCTTTGCCTATAGACTACAGACCGTTACTTATGGCATCTTGGATATTAATTGGATAATGGCTGGCTGGCTGAGATAGAAAATTTAGGCGTGGAAGGGTATTAATGGCGGGAAGAAGCATCTCAGCCTTATTTCCCTGACCATTTTTTTTGTGGTTTGTGAGGAAAAAATGAGAGTTTTTGAGGGCAAGGAAGGAGGGTTTGATATGGTTAAGGATAGTTGCTTTCAGACTCTAGGTTTTTTTATTAAGGGTCATTCTCTTTACTCTTTTGAGGATTTTAGGGACCCCATTAACATTTTGATCGATATTTACATATTTTTGTATACAAGTTTGCACCCCTTGATATCTGTGTATGAATCTATCCTTTTTATTCAAAAGAAAAAGATATTGCATCTTCCCAAATCTTTAATTTATAATAATTTGGGTCCTTTCATTTGAAAATTGTTGTCAGATTGCAAGAGAGGTATTAGACGCAGCAGCTAGGGTGATTCGTCCTGGTGTGACAACTGATGAAATTGATCGGGTGGTTCACGAGGCTACAGTTGCTGCTGGTTTGTATGTTTGTTGAGCTGTTATCATGCTGATCTTTCTTTTCCTTTTTTTTTTTCAAAATATTTTTGATTTTTTTTCTTTTCTCAAATTAAGGATGCCATAGGATAGTATGTCTTATCGACTACAGCAAAGTCTTTCTTTTTTGGACATTAATCTTTTACCTAATATTGGTTATCCTGTATCTACAATTGCATTTTCTTTGGACTTTTGGCAGTCACAGTGTTTATTTCAAGTGTGTATTAATTTCTGTTGTATTAACATCTGGTTCATCAATCACTGAGGCCCAAAATTGGTGCCTATTCCTGGTAAAGAATTGGCGGGATGTATTGTCTGTATGTCGATCTGTGATTTACCTGTTAAAATGAACTCTTTTGGAGAGAGGATGGTTTTGAGTGACATTGTTGATCTTTCTTATTGTTGTTGAAGATTTTCTTGGAGCAGTATGTTTGTAGTATGCTATGACCCAGCGTGTGGAACTTCCTACAAAACAAGTTGGGCGCATGCTGAAATTCCTAAATAACACATGTTTCCACTATATATACTTCCATGAAAGAGGAAATTTACTGCATTGTCCAGAATGACCAGTAAATACTAGTTTCTTTGAATAAACTGGCATTCTTCTGTTATTCCAGTTTCCTTGTGTATACCCAGAATACCATTTTGTTCTGTGGTATCCACCAATACCAGTTTCAAATTTTAGTTTTAGTGGAAGGATCAAAGGATTGGCAGTTTGAAAAGATAATAGTTGCTGCAAGAATTTTTCTAAATTTTTATTGGGAATAATTACAGTCATGGATATCTGTAGTATTATATGCCACAGTTTGACGTAAGTTTCATCTTCTGAGTGTAAGTGTTTATCTTTAGCCACTGTGACTAGTAGTTGATATTATTTAATATATTTGGATAACCTTGCTGCAGGAGCTTATCCATCCCCCCTGAATTATCATTTCTTTCCAAAGTCTTGCTGCACGTAGGTACTTTTTTCCTGTTCATTTTCTATAAATGAGCTCAGGTTCATAATAAATTTACACTAGCACTTCTTTGTTTGTCGCACAGATCAGTTAATGAAGTAATCTGCCATGGAATCCCTGATGCTAGGTACATTTAAATTCAGTCATTCGAAAATGTTGATGTTGCTGTTTATCTATTTCAGTTAATTTCTGAACATTGTTTCAGACAATAGTTTCTAAATTGAAATTTGAATTGCGTGTCACAATCACAGGTTTACCCATTTTCTGAATCAAATTTCACTATTATGTATGCAGTATATGTGTGTACATTTATATGTATATTAAACAAAGAGAAAAATGCTTAGAAATAATACTGTTTAAAACATTTTTAAAAATTAAAAAAGTTATATTTTGTATTCTTGATATTTTAGCCAATTAAAAAATACTTACCTTGAAAGTATATTGAGTACATAACCATGTTTCTTGATTACAGAAATTTTATTTTCAAAATGCCAAAAATTTTAAGCAACTCAAAATAAACAATCTAGATATTATGGTGGGTCCACACATATTCAGTTATATATATTGTCAAAATTTATCCTCTAAAAAATTATCATTTGTCAAGGTCAATAACTTCTCCATATTTTTTTACAGTCATTCCTTTGATTGCTCTCTTCTTTGTTAAAACTGCAAAATGTGCGTCAATTTCAGTGTTCTCAACTTATTATATGAAAATGGTGTTGAAACTATTAATTTGGGTTTTTATCCATTTCAATTCTACTTTGTCCGTGTAGAACTGGCTAAATTTTACATTTCTACTTGATTCATATGATTCGCATGTGATTTACATGATTCCCTTGGATTTTTTTTTGAAATAAAAATTACATGATTCCCTTGGATTATTCATATATTTTGATTCACCAATATGATTCTAATCATTCTACTTTTGAATTTAATTTTTTGATTTATAATTTGAATCTTATAATTCTGACAACAATGGTTAGCGCCTTTTTGATTCTTTTGGTACTTAATGTTAAGGTTGTTTAGAAATAATATCCTTGTACGTTGGTCTATAGCCAAGTTGCTTGTGCACCTTGTTACTTCTGATGGAAGCCAGCTTGTGTTGTACTTCATTATATTTGGGCGTTTCTGT